ACTACTTCCGCTTTACTTCTATACAACTATGGAATTCTAAGTTTCGCTCCAAACATTTTCAACTATTCTATTTGTTGAACTTTACTTTGTTGAACTCTTCTATGTTATTCAATTATTCTCCTCTATTGGTTTAACTTCCCTTAATTCTATTTTAACTATTTTATTTATTTTCTATTATAATTGTTTTACTTCACTCCTAAAAAAAATATTTAAGTTTACTTATATTCTGTTTTATTCAACTATGCAATTTTGTTCCTTTCATTAAATTTATCCAACCACTTTATTCTATTAGTTCCACTTTTCTCCTATTCAACAATGCATTTATACTATAGATATTTGTCTTACTTATTTTATTATATTCATCTACACCATTCAAATTAATTGAACTTTACTCTTCTAAATAGTTTTTTCTTCATTCCATTGCACATTCTATTGTACATAACTATTCTATAATTTCTTCTTTTTTTGTACACATTTCTGTTATATTTGTTTTACTGCACACTTATGTTTATTTTCTATTCAAAGTAATCACAATTGGAAAAAAAAAAATTTCAGTTCGCCCCATTCTGTTTTATTTAACTATGCAATTCTGTTAATTTCATTCATTTTATTTAACCCAACTATTCTATTCTATTAGTTCCAATTTACTCCCATGCAACTATGCAATTCTATTTGTTTCACGCCAGACTTATTCTTAGCTTCAGCTATTCCATTCAATGAATTGAACATTGAAGTTTTTTCCCAACTATTATATTCTATTGGTTTAACTACAATTAATTATATTGTATTCAACTTAACTCTGTTTAGTATTTAACTACTCCATTTGATTAGTTTTACTTCTATTCTATTCAATTCTATTCATATGAAACACACAGTTATAAAGACAGTCCAGAAACCCCGAACAGAGTCTTTTCATAACAGAGTCCTGGGTTTGTTCCAGATCCGTGTGTCCTGCAGAGTTTCCTCATGAGTTCAGATGGGATGAGGGGGAATTCCCACCTCCAGCTCTTTCCTACTCACGGCTACCCTGTTCCCATTTACCATGGTAACCATATTTCCACCAACACATTCACTGCATTTATTATCACCACTGTAAAACTGTGGTACATTAATATGGGTTCTTTTTCAAACAGGCTTTTGTAATGTCATGTATTCAGTTTGATAACAGTGATTGCTAATACAGCCACAGTTTCCCAACAATATGCATAACTGTAGTAGCAATGGCATTTTTGACCATCAATGTACTAAATGTCTGCAGGGATCACACATTCTTGCTGTTGTTTGAAACAAAGAGAGAGTGATTCCTTTCGATGCAGCTGACAGAAGACGCTAAACAGACTCTGATGCAAGCATATTCAGCAGAAAAAGTTTGTACAGGTTACTTTTGCAACTTTGTA